AGCGGCCCGAGAGGGAGCTGGCGGCGCAGCGGGAGGAGGCCTCTGTATCCATGGATCTGCAGAGCGGTGATGTGCCCCATGGCAGGGAGTTTCCCAGCTTGCCCCCTGAGGAGGGGGAGCAGGGGCCGGAGATCCCTTCCTACACAGATGGGGAGATCTCTTGCCAGATGCCAGCTCTGGACATCAAACCGGGCGACCCGCTGGCTGGGATGAACGCTTTGGTGGCCGCCACAGAGATGCCTCAGGCTTGTTCCTTGCTGACTACTGCCAGTGTCGCTGCGTCCCAGGTGAAGATGGAGGTGTTACCTGAGCAGGCTTTGGAGCACTCCTTCCTGCAAGGGATCACTTTGCTGAGCGAAATTGCAGAGATGGAGCTGGAGAAGCGGAAGCAAGAAATGCAAAGTAAGTTGTGAGTGCGGAGTCCGGTCAGCGTTGGGCTAAGCTGCATCTCCCTGTGTGCAGCCCCTTGTCCTCTCTAAGGGGACACAGGAGCAGAGATGAGTTGGGCTATCTTGTGACCTCAGGTGGGCAATGAAGAGCCAGACCCTAAACCGCTAGAGTCACTGGGCTTTGGATAGCATCAGAACAGGGTTTTTGCTGCAGTAGGTTGAGCTCTGTGTGGCTTTTGGACTACTTTCCCCTTCCAAGAGTGCTCCCATGTCTAGACGGTCTGTGGTGTGCAGAGCGGAAGCGAAGGCCCACTCGTCTGGTTCTGCCAGCTTAACACCCCTCTGGCAGGCACCAAGTCTGGAGTGTGTTGGAGGAGGCCCCAGTAGCTCCAGATGATGCTTTCCAGTAGGAGCTTGGCAGATCCTGAAAAGATCTCACCTTCCAGTGACTTCCCGACGCAGGATACTGGGGGTCTGCCAGTTGTACCATGGCTGGGTGCAGGGGAGATCTCGGGTGGGCCCCTGAGGCTGCAGGGAGGGTAGCTGAGCTGCCATCTGGAGAGTTTACTCGCTGCCAGCACCCACATGCTCATGGAAGTGCTTTCTACCCCCTTTATGGAAAGCCTGAAAACCATCCGGCTGCCTCGAGAGCTGAATCCCAACAAAAAGTACAGCTGGATGCAGAAGAAAGACGAACCCGTAAGTAGCTCTTCACGTGGCGGAGCTTGTCAAGCCGTGGTGCGTCTGCTCGCTCTTGCAGGCACCGTTTACCGCCCGGCTTGTGCTGCCCTTTTGCGTTTGGCAAAGTGAGACGTTGCTGCTCTCTGCATGCGTAGCTGGGCAGCAGCGTGGTGTGATTTTGCTTCTTCCTGTGTTTGTGAATCAGCAGCACTGATCTCAGCAGGACCCGCCGCAGCCCTAGAAGTGGTGTTTGTAGTGCAGAGCCAGCAGGAGCTCATATGTTACCGCTTTGGCAAGCGGGATAAATAAAAATAGTGCAAGAGGGTTTTTTTTTTTTTGTCTTTTTTTTAATACTCTGTTCTTCTCTATGGGGAGAGACTGGGAAATTCTTTTGTCCTATCCAACCTTTCCCCAGCAATTAAAGGTTTCGAGACTGGGAATACTCTGATCGGAGTTTTTAAGTAAAGGGGAGGAGACTTCATGGGTTGGTTTTATTCTGCAGGTCCTTTCTAGGATTGTTCACTCTCAAACCTGATACCATATTATTCTGAAGCCACAGTGCACCCTTGCTTGGCTGTTTTGGCTCGAGTCCTGCTCTAGGGCTGTGTGCAATGTGGCTGAGGGTGCTCTGCTCCACTGCAAGTGTGCGGAGGGATTTCCCTGCCTGGTTGGCATCCGAGCTGCAGGATGAGGATGAAGCTTTAGATGCTGCTTCACGCACCCATGGCTAACTCTGTCTTTACTCCCCACTGCTTCATGTGGCTGCTCCTGACACAACCACATCCCAAATCTGCCAGTTGTAGCTGTCTAGGAGCAAGTCTGTGTCCTCCTTATACGCATGCAGAGGCCTTTGCAAGGACAGCAGCACCTTTGCCTGCACCATCCTTATATCTAGGCAGGGGCCATGCTCTGACCCTCTGGCCTTGTCTTGCCTCCCCATCCCAGCTGTACTCCATCAAATCGGCCATCGAGAACATGGACGCGATGGAGCTGGACTACAGGATGCGGCTGGCGGAGCTGCAGCGGCGGTACAAGGAGAAGCAGCGGGAGCTGGTGAAGCTGCAGCGGCGCAGGGACTCCGAGTAAGTCGCGGGCTGCTCTCTCGGCCTTTCTCTTTCCAGCTAGGCACTTCCACTGCCTCTTGGTCCCGGAGAGAAACCCGAGTCCCCTCCTCTCCTCCCAGTACGGCCCAGCAGAGCTTTGCACAACACACTCCTAGGCTATGTGGCACAACAGCCTCATGACTGGTGAATGCAGCTGGGAGACTGTATTAGAGACAACCTTGGCTTCAGCAGCTCAGTTTAGCAGTTTGGTGACAGGCGAAGGTTCTGGGTTGGCTTCCATTCTTGCTTGCTTTCTTTTAATTTTTCCCTTTTTTCTTCCTTTTGGATTTATTTCCCTTTTTTCCTGTTTTGTTTTGCTTTTTGGTTGCAAAATTTTATTTTGTTTTTTTCTTTGCTTTTTTTTTGTTTTGTTTTGTTGCCTTGGTTAACAGTGAAGCGTGTGGTTTTTTTAAAGGGAAAAGCATGACGAGAAAAGTAGAAGCTTGGCGAGAAGAGGCCCTGGAAGGCCCAGGAAGAGGAAACTTGGATCAAGCGCTCTGTCGCCCATTAAGGAGAGAGGGAAGAGTGACAGCAAGAGTGGAAAGTAAGGCTGGAATTTGGGGAAGCCGGGAAAATGGCAGGGTCGCTGCTCAGGGTCCTGCTTGGGGAGAGCACCTCGGATGCGGCAGGGCCGTCCCGGCGGCCGCGGTGTCACCGAGACGTGTGTATTTAGCACGCGCGTGTCCTCGCAGCGGGGACACGGCGCCAGCCTCCTCCCTGCCCGCTGGCAGAGCGCGTGGCCCTGGTGCTGGGTGCAGGCAGGCCAGGTTGAGCTGAGCAGTGGTGACGTTTTACGGAGCAGCCGTGGAGCGAGTTCTCATGTCGGGCAGCGTCTCTTGGTGCGTGTTCAGAGAGCAGGGAGCGCGTGTGGGCGCTGCACAGCTAATTGCAAGGAAGCCGATGGCATAAATCGGAAGGACAGGGCTGTTTCAGGTTAACTGCTTTTTAGGACCTTTCTGCTATGTTTCTGCTGTCTTCTGTTCCCGTAATCAGTGGGAGTTGGCTTGGCCTGAACTCTCTTTATCAAGTGTCTGGATCATTCTGTCTTCTGCTTTTTTTCTTTTTTTTTGCAAGTCCAGCTGCTCTCATTTGGGTGCCTGGATCACAGCACAGCTGTCCACAGAACCATCTATAGATGGCCAAGATTCTCCAAAGTGAAGGCGCCTCAAAGCTGCCTCTCTGTGTTACGTATTTTTACGAATGTCCTTTCAAGACCACAAATTGGATTCAGGTCCCCAGCTCCCACTGACCACATGCTTCTGAAAATCTTTCCTCTTGGTGGCTCTGTGTTTTGCTTCTCTGGTTTGGGTGCCAGGAAAGGCAGGAGAGGCGGTTGGAATTGTGCGTGTGCTCTGTGCACGTCCCCATGTTGTGGGGGTGCTGGTGTGGGACATGCAGGTGCAGGGTGAAGGACCCGAGGTGTCAGTTCAGCTGTCTGCGGAAGGCAGCGGAGAGGATGGAGGGGAGGGAAAATACTTGGAAGCTGCCCTGTGTCTGGGGCAGGCTTAGCATAAAGGAAATGGCATGTGGAAGCATTTCACAGAGGCTTGGTAGAGATCTCAAGGTGTTGAACCATCAGCTAGTTGCTGGACGCTGCCGGGGAGCAGCAAAGGATGTGCTTCTAGTCTCACCTACTTTGTTTGTTTGTTTATTTATTTTATTTACCCCCTCCTTTCCCCCTAAATCCTGGGTAGAGACCAAAGATGCAGACTGCAAACATCTCTCAGAGAGGGGCCAGGCTCGTAAGGCCGTCCTTTGTGCGAGCCAGTGCCCCCAGTGCCCTCGTCCCCTCCGAGCCACCCTGTGCACTGGTTCCCCTCAGCTCTGCTGCATTGTCACCTCCTTGCTCAGACCTGAGTGACCAGAGCAAGAGTCCAAGGGGTCTGGCACCTCCTTGGGACCCGGGAATCTCCCTCTGCTCCTAGACAGTCCATGCAAACAGAGGTGGAGAAAGACCTGCAGGATCAGCTCGGCTGTCTGTTCTTCCCCCTGCTGCTCTGTACCAAATTGGGCACTTTTCGGTGGCTTTTTTTCTCAAGAAAACTACTTCCTTTCAGGGGCCACCTTGCAGGTGTCTGGTTTCAGCTAACCTCACCTATGCTGCTAGCTGAGAGTGTGGAGAAGCAGGGCTCGTTGGCTTTCCTGTTCAGTGGAAAACAAAGTCAGGCCCTCGGCTTGCCCAAAGGGCCGTCACTCCGCAATGGACTTGGCTCCCGTTGAGGATCCCTGCTTCCCTAGGAGGCATTAACCTCCCTTTGGAGCTTGGTGGGTCTCACAGGGAGCAAAGACCCCCCCAGCCTGACCCATGCTGTGCTTGGCTTGCAGACTGAGCAAGTCCTTGTTGCTCTCTGAAGACTCCGAGACTGGTGAGGGCATGAAGAAGAGGCACAAAGGGGCCCTCCCGGAGGAGGACGACGATGTGGAGAGCAGCAGTGGCAAGATGAAAGGGAGAAACCAGAGCTGGGAAGAGCACGATGTGACTCCCAGCTTCTCAAATGAGGTCAGTGCCCTTGTGGGGGATGCAGAGCTGTGGGCAGAAAGCAGATTTCTCTCCTTTGCTGGTGCTGGGCTGCACTGGGTAACTCCTCCAGGCCTTACAGCCTTGGCTCTCAGTCCTGTCGTGTCTAGAAACCCCTCACAGGAGGGCTCTCTGCGCCTTGGGGAGCAATGCGCAAGCAATAACTTTGACTGAACCTCCTTGGTAGGCAAAAGAGAGTGGTAAAAACATTTTCTTCTGTAAATGAGGTATTTACTGGTGAGGTATTTACCAGACCTTTAAGCTAATGATGAAATCCCAGATTCATACAGACCAAGTATGTTAGAACTGCTCTTATCTAGTCGCAGCACACGTAAAGTGTGTTTGCATTATGGAAGGATCAGGAAAATCCGGAAGGGTGTAACAGCCCTGTGTATAACACAGAGGTCCTGATGTTCTTGCTGAGACTTATTTGTCTTTTCTTTGTTTTGGCATCCAGACCCTGGAGCTGGTTGATTATGTGGAAATCTTTATTTGGTTGGGTGTTTTTTGGGTAAAGAAGACTTTTAATCCTTGGGATTTAGAGAAAAGCTTGCAAAACTGGCCCAAACATATCCTAAAATCCCGAAGGTGATGAGAAAAAAAAATCCTTGAAGAACATGTTGTTCTGTGGATGTATTTCTTTTGGAAGAAAACTAATTTTTTTCTAAGTTAATCTTCTAATGCTTGACAGGAGTGAAGCTGAACTGCTCACTGGCATCTCCCTTCTCTTTCTCCCCGGTACCTTGTCTGGTTATGGCAGCCTTGGGGGTTAAGTCCTTCCTTTCGAGACTGTGTTAATTGGCATGCACAAGAGACTGAAACTGGAGCTTTTAAAATCCATAGGGTCTGTCACAATGTCTGCTCTGTATTCACCACTGTCCCTTCCTTTCCCCTCGCAGTTAAAGCTCAAGAAGAAAAAGGTGCCATCGGATCAGGAGCAGCTGGCCAGCAAGCTCGACAAGGCCTTGTCGCTCACCAAGCAAGACAAGCTCAAATCCCCCTTCAAATTTGCTGACAGCTCTGGGGGGAAGACAAAATCGAGCGGAGGTGGCAGCAGGTACCTCCCACCCCATGAGACTCTGCCGAGCAAGGAGGAGAAGAAGAATCTGGCCAAGAACCTGGGCCTGTCGCTTAAAACCGCCAAGGAAGGTAAAAACAAAGTGGCTGCCAAAATGAAGAAGATGGAGGTGGGGTTAAAAGTCAAAAATCAGCTCAAGGTTTCCCATTCACCAGCAATATCTGAAGTTAGCAGCTACTCCTACAGTAAGTAACCCCTCATTTATCTCTTCTCATGGCGCGGTCTGTTGTGGGGACTTGCGGCAGGGGTTTCTAGCCCCTTGGAAGGGGTCTTGGAGATGGGTCTGTTTTTGCTTTGTGACAGAAGGTTCTCCTCCTCAACTAATCAGTGCTGATGTGCCTTTGGGGTGAGTGCGTGTTGCCCAGGGTCCACCCAAATTGCTGTCCAAGAGAGAGCTGACATTGGTGTCTGGCCAATGTTGTGCTGATGGTCGTTGAGGAAAAATGTCTTAAGACTGAAGTTGACCCATGTCCTTGCTTACATTGGGAGTAAACACTCTCCATCTACCTGCCAAAAAGGAGCTCTGCTGCAGAGGTGTTTTGTTGTTGATTTTTGAGGTCTTCGGAAACTTGGGTAGGATTAGCCGTAGGATGCCTTGGAGGTAGCTAGAGGAGGTGAAGCCTGCCAAGAGTCACTGATGTTTGCAGGCATTCTCCTCCCCTTCTTCAGTGCCTGGCTTTGCTTTCTTATGGTTTGGTTCCTAGCTGGCTGTCCTCAGCCTTCCTATCTGTCTCGTAGGAGTTCATCTCCATGCCAGCATCCTGTGTACTGATGGCTGTAGTCCTCCCTTCTGAACCCCACGTGTACCTGAGATGGAGGATCCTGGATTTAGGGACCAGGCAGAGTTAATGACCTCTACTAAGAAAGGAAAAATCTGAATTACAGATAGTGTTGGGAAGGTGCTAGGGCCAACCAGTCAACTTGACGTATAAGAAGGAGGCCATTACATTGTGGTCTCCAGCTGTGGTAGGAGCCTTCCGGGTATCAGGTGCTAAGTGTATTTAAGAAAGCGTGGAACTGAATGTCCTTTGGTGCCAGCTGTGCCAATGTGGCCGGCAGTCTGAGCGTGTCTGGGCTAGCCTTGCCATGGGTGATCTGTTTCCAGAGCTCAAGACTTGGGATGATGATGAGATGCTGTTGCTGGGACAATGGAGAGGAGTATCTGCTGAAATAATAGCACATAAATGTGCTGTGTGTGCTGCCCTTCATCCCTTGGGGAGCAAGGATGATGCTAGGAAAACCAGATGACTTTGTCTTTAATGGTTCAGGCAGAAGATGGGATGTAGAGTGTATTAGGGTCTTGGAGTTTATGATCTGTGGCTTGTTGTTTAATTGTCTTAACTCCCTTTTAAATTCGGATATTTTCCTTTGCTTACAGCTACGTAAGTCCCATGTTGAAACACTTACAGGGTGTTTGCAAATACAACAAATGTATGTCCCCACGCAACACCAGTTTAGAAACTTCACAAATGGGGAGGATGATGAGCTAGAGATTTTCCAACTGAACAAATGTTTGGCATGAAATTAGCCCTTAACTTGGCAAAATAAGAGCCATTTTGTCCACTGGACTTGAACACATCATTCGACCTTTGGCTGGCGGTGATGCACAAACCATCCATCTGTTCTGCTCTTGAGTATGTTTCTCATCCAGGAACAGCCTTATGGCTCCTAAACTGGGAACTTTGTAGCTTTTGGGGAGGAGAGCAGGGTCATGGCTGGAGAGGAGGCACAAGCCAGTGCAGCAGCTGAAAGCCTTGACTCATGGCAGAGAGTTTTTTCAATGCACTCACACTTGGTGCTCTGGTTTCAAGACCAAAAACTGCCTCCCCAGATCTAAAGGAGCTGTTGTTTGAACCCCACCATCCCTCCAACAAGACGGTCTGTGCGTGAGCAGTGTAGAAATGTGCCCTCTGCAGTAAGATAATCATTACTGAAGAACTTTGTGGAATGGCTCAGCGTTGGTCCCAGCCTCTTCAACTGTGTACAACTTCAAAGGAAGGGCTTTAGCCAGTCGTTTGATCACCCAAGCATGATGGATTCGGGAGGGCAGGTTGAGCATATGGCAGCATCTCCATGACTGGTAGGCTTTTTCCTGTGGAGGAGGAGAAATGGGACTAGTGCCAAATCCTTCCATCTCATCCTAACCTCATGACTCCTTACTGGAGTCCCTGAAGGTGTTTGGCATAGGTCCAATGAGCACGCTGAGTGATTCCCACCGATTTTAACAGAAGTGCTCTGGGCCATTTGTGGATTTGGGCTTTGGGGCCTCCTAGACTGCCAGCTCTCATTCCTCCCTTTTCAAAACCAGTGCAAGAGACGCGGAGAGCGGTGCCTGACCTGGACCAACATCGGAGAGCATCTGCTGCCTCAGATGCGGTCCTCACAGTACCACCCATAGCACCACAGTGTTAACAGTGCCTTCATGAGCTGTAACAGCTCATATCCACCTGGGCACCGTGTACTTTTTGTTTCACACCTCCAGCTTGGGAGGGAACCTCTGGAAAACTTCTTGGCACCCATGGGGGCTGTCAAGTTTAGGAAATTCGCAGCTTGCAAAACAAGGAACAACTTAGTCTGTGTTACTTCTTGGTGTCCACCACAAAAGCCCTTTGGAAGAGCAATTCCTGTAAAAAGGAGGGTTTGGGTCAGAATATTTTAGCATTACTGTAGTTAAGGGTAACGCAGATCAGCAGCCAGCTGGTGGCATTGCTATGCTTTGGATGGGCATCTTCCTAACGGCAACTCCTACCTCAGTTTTCCATTCTTAGGTGTAAAACTCCCTCAAATCCTACCTAAAAACGAGGAAGGACTGCAGCCGCCTGGCCTAGGTGGAGAGTGTTTATTTCTAACAGTTGGCAGCGCCCTGGGAAACACCTGTTTTGGTAATTTTGAGGCTCCTGCCCTGACTCCGCACCCTGGTTGACAGTCGCTTGGCACTGCAGCATTCCCCCCCAAAAACCAGCCCCATCAGCTGCTTTAACGCTCTT